TATAAAATCCTAAGAACAGGATTATAAGAGAGGTACTAGCTATATATAGGAGGCTAGAAATCCTTAAAGCAAAGTAGAAAAAGCTTAAGAATTTATAATATTATATATAAAATAACTAAGAAACCTACTATAATAGGTACTAGTTAGCTAAATACTATTCTAAAGAAGCCTAGATAATACTATTAATAAGAAATATTAAACTTAAAACAAGAAAGCTTAAGCTAAAATTTATAGGTCTATTTAGGATTCTTAAATATATTAGTAATTTAGTATATAAGTTAAAACTACTAAGTATATATAATTATTTATATCTAACTTTCTATATTTCTTTTCTTAAAGAATATATAGTAAAAAAGGATTAGGAGCTATACTTATATCTTTCTAGAGAACTTCCGGAATTAGTAAATAATAATAAAGAATAAGAATAGAAAATAGAAGCTATTATTAATTACTAATAAGATAATAAAAGCAAGAAGTAATAGTATTTAATTAAATAAAAAGCCTGGCCTAAAGATTATAATACCTAGTTACTTACTTTCCCTAACCTTAAAAATTCTAAGGAACTTCTAAAATTATATAACTAAAACTATAGCTTAGAATCCAAAACTATCTTTTAATAATCTCTTAAGATTAAAAAGAATTCTGAATTATTAAGAAAAAGGCTATTTAAAAGAAAGAAAGAACCTAAATAGCCAAGAAAAGGCCCGGAATAATAATAGAAATACTTTTTCCCTAGGTTTTTTTATTTATAAAGATTTTCCAGGGTTTTATTAAGGCTTATAAGAATTATATTTAAATTATTAGAAAAAAGATTTAGAATTAAGAAAGATTTATTATAAGTAAACTAGCTATAGGTATCTTAAATAAATAAACTCTAATTCCTATAAATTTCTAATTTCTAAAATAAGAATATTAAATACCGGCCCTATTTAGAACTTAATAAAAAATCGGCTAATATTCTCCGGAATTTACTTATCTCTTAATAGGATATAGTTATACTATAATAATATTAGTATTAAGAATATTAAGAGAAGTAAATAAGGAACTTATAATTACTATATATATCTTATAGAAAGCCTGAACTTCTAAAGTCAGGTCCCGAATAACTATAAGTATTATATTATTAGTATTTAAAGTACTAGTAGTAAACTACTTAGTAATCTCGGTAGTAATCTCGGTAATAAGATTAATGCCTTAAAAGTAAACTTTATAGTATTTCTTTAAGAAATTAGTAAGTACTTAAATATATTAGAAAGAACTTATTTTTAGGATATTAACCCAAATAGTATTATTTTCTGCCTTATTAAGACGGAAAGAAGAATTCTAAAGCTTATTAGTATCCTTCTAGTCTTTAAAAATCCAATTAATAGTATTATTTATATTAGTATAATACTATTTAGAATATTCTTTAAGAAATTTCTTAAAGATTATAATAGTATCTTCTCAGAACTAGTAAGCCTCTAATAAGTAGCGAGAAATCTGAAATTGCATTAGCTTTAATAGATATTAAAGCTAAAGAACTTACTAATATATAAGACTCAGAACCCTTATTATAACGGTTATAATTCTTCTTGCTAGGTACTATAGTATATAAGGTAAAGGAATTAATAAGTAAATATTTGAAGTATTTCAAGTATCTACTAGTAATAGAAAAGAAAGCTACGAGATTATCTTTATACTTATAATTATATTAGCAGATAATAAAGCTAGAAAAAGATATTATAAAATTAATTAAAAATAATTAAAGAAGACTTAGAAAAGGGCAGAAGAAAAGGCTAGAAGGCAATAATAGAAGAAGTTATTATATATATAGTTATTAGAAAGAAAGAAAGTATATAGTAATACAAAGAGGTCCTTTTATAAAGATAGAGAGCCACCTGGATTAACTACTAGTTTTCGTACTAGTCCTAATCGGAATTTAGTATAACTAATTAATATATACTCCCAGAAGCCCGCAAATAATCTTCAGGACCTCAGAAATATTCATATAGGTTTCTTATATAAATATTTATTAAATTCTTTCTATATAGCTATTCAGATTATTCTAATACGAGATCTGACAGGTAGTATTAATTTCGTGGGATAGCGCCTTGGCACTTTGGATCAAGCTAATTAGAATACTCAGATCCCAAACAAAATTACAATTACCGGCTAGCCCCTATACCTGGAATATAATTACCCTTCCTTCTCGCTTACTCAGCCCTAATCTAATTAGATGATTTTTATGTCCATTATCCAGATCACATTAGCAAAACCACCTCCCAAGATACTAGAAGTTTACGTTAATTAAATAAATAATCAATTAAATATTTACCAGGATTAATAGATCTTGGAAACAAGATCCTAGGAGGGGGGTATAGTTATGATATGTATAGGGTCGCACGTGACTTAAAGGCATGTAACGAACCTCGGATATCGCGGGTATTAATTAGGGAGATCGGCGGCCCTTTAATATCCCAACTAACCACTATTTATATCATATGCATTAGGCTTATAAATCACTAATTATATGTATGCCATCGGGGCCTCCTATTTAGAGGGGGCTTCCCTGGACCTCACAGGAGGGACAGAGATTAGTTCTGTACTGAATTTAACACTGTGGTTTCACAACACACTGATTCATTCTATTGTCTTATTGCCTACCAACAAACACCTCACAACTTGAGTATATTAGGAACTCTCCAGAAATGAATATAATAGAGGGGGTTTGGATGCCTCTAAGGATAGTAATTACCAAGGAGTAGGATGCCCCTTATATAATAGAATGAACTAATTATATGTGGAGAGCTAAATGGGACAAGTTCCTACAAGATCGGATATGTGGTTTGGTTATACGGCGGGCTGCAATAAATAATCTTATTATCCGTTCAGCTGCCACCAGGTGCGCCCTGGCCCGTGCACGTTTAGGCGAACCCGATCTACAAATCATATCGTTAGAATCCTTGATTTAAAGCCTCCAATTCGCTACAATTTTGCGGTATATTTGATTACGGAAAGGCGCACCTGGTGGCAGCTAAACGGATAGAGTTTGAAGGAGGGAATGAATTTCATGGATAATACTTCTGTTTTGGTGTGGTTTACTATAGTAGGGGGGGTCACTTTGGTGGGGTAAATTCGCTTGCGCAACCAGTAAAAAGTGGACGGATTTTTTCGCCCGTCGCCTTCGTACTGAATTGACTGCTGTTCTATAGTGGTAAGTAGCCTGTTTATATAGCCCTGAGCCCCCTAAGTCACATGCACTAAACCCCTAAACCAGAGAGCCTTATACTGAGCCATTCAACCTCAGCTGAACCGATTTAGCCTCACAGGGCATATTATGCCCTGAATCAACCTTACAGGGCATAATCTACTCAGTAACAAGCCTATGGCTTAAGCCCCATTAATGCACAGCCCCTAAGGCTCTGTTCCAGGGCTTACTAAGCCTATTAGGGGCCTCAGGCCCCTAATTTCAACACTATCTACGGGCACTACAGGGCACATACGCTGAAGTCGCACGACTTTATGCCGCAATATTCGTAGCCGATTTCGCACCAAAAATTAGTGTATATTAAGTCACGAATATATAGCGAGAACTCACTGCCGATCTCCAAATAGTGGGATATTCTTATATTTGATAACTCCTGATTATAGTACATCGGGCCGATGCAAATCTGGACTCGAATACTAACAAAATCGCTGTATCTTGAATCAAGACGTCATATAAACGATGAGAACTGCGGGGACACTGTCAAGGCTCTGAAACATGCTTCACCGCCTTCTTATCAATCTGAAACCTTACGTTCGATCCAACTGTCCGGAGACATTTCAGTTAATGCAAGTGCGATCGGGTGTAAATGGCGTTGAGTCTGGTGAACCAGCCCCAGCAGCCAGCCGGAACTCTGGAATAGGATGATCCAGCGCTAAAAACACCTGGATAAGTCGCTGCGAGGACATTCGTTATCATTGTCCCGGAAGAGCCTCCGACAGTAAAAACCTTCGATGGATCTCCGTTGTACTTCTGGAGAGCCTATTTAGCCATAAGGGCGAGACCCTGTGAATCCATGCCACCATCATAGGTGAGTGTCTGAATCGAGTTACAATCCCTGCAGTTGGACCGCAAAGGCGCAGCTACAAGATGTCAGAAGCTTAAAATTAAAAATTACTATATACTTACGCCAAAGAGGATTGCAGGTATATCAGCGACTTTGGCAGGGACATAGACTTGCGATTGCGCAATGCTACATGGGTTTTTATCTCAGTCTGTCACTGGTTGGAGGCCGGCATATGCTACCGAGGAAAAGGCGAGGGTAGCCGCAAGGCCTTGGAAGAGCATAGCTGCAAAAGCGTGGTCTAAAAATGAGGGGAATGTGAAATAACGAGGAAGTGGCGATATCACCAAGGTCCAAGTCCGACAGGAGACATGCTCTGAGATCCTCGCATAGTTATAGATATTTTCATTGACCTGACGACGCGAAATAATATTTTCCAGATATTAATCAAATATACCCGGTCATGATTTCCATATTAGAAGCGTGGGGATTTACAATTGGAGGCGTTGCGGCTACCAGGGTTGGGAAATGCAACGATGGGTACGGACCTCCCAGACCCTATTTCGGCGAGCAACAGATATCGAAATCGGTAATCGCCAGACAGGTGGAAGAATAAAAGGCCTCGGTTGGAACAGCGGTATCTGAATTCGGTGCCTATGCCCACCGAACGAACAAGCCCTGGTTAAAGTGGACTAATATGGCTAAACGTTTGTGGACACAATGAACGGACAAAGCCAAGCGGTTATATTAGAAGAATCAATACCCTTGCGTTTCGTAACCTAGGTCAGAAGCGAGGGTATTGTGGTGCCAATAAATATTAAAGAGTAAGGTAGGGGGCGGGGTTCTTGCATTGCACGGGACACATGGAGGGGTTGGTGTCCAGGTGAGGCAAGCGCATCCAACTAAACAACCTCCATCTTTAAAGTTTCCAGGTTGAATCTGCCACAGCTTTCGTTTTTCTCTGACATTATACGACAGCCTCAATTGCAGAGAAGCATGACTCCGACGACGGCTCATAAATGATCAAGCTCATCAAAGTTAATTCACTTGTTCGGTCTAGTAAACAGTCTGCCGCTAACTTCACTCCTTTCCACGCGCTTCAAACCCTCAACTACATCCCCGAATGGTATCTCCTCAAGTACAGGCACGATTAAGCCCTTTGAGATCAACTCAAGAACCTGACCAAACTCCGCTATACTAGCGCCAAGTGAGCCATGGATTTGAATCCTGCGAGTCACAATCGCCAGAGTTGACAACTCCACTCTCGGTGTACCCATACCAACAAGTACAACACGGCCTCCGGCTTTTACGGCTTTCACAGCTTCTGCAGTTGTAGTGCCAACACCTGCAAAGTCCACTATCACATCAAATCTTATATGAGCAGCATCAGCAAGGTTTGTAAAGCACGCTGTTGCCCCTTGCCTCATAGCTTCATCAAACTTCGTCCTATCAATGTCAACTCCATAAACCGTAGCTCCTTGAAGCGCGGCTACTCTAGCGCCATTCAACCCAACTCCCCCAAGTCCAACAATTCCCACGGTTTTAGTGGCATCTGCCTCCGCTTCTGCCACAACTGCGTGATACGCCGTCAAGATAGAATCGCCCGCCACAGCTGCTTGAGCAAAGCTCACATTCTGAGGCATAGGCACGACAAATCTACCAGCAACCGCAATCTTCTCTGCGTATCCCCCGTCAAAACCCATACCGACCGCATTGTCCCAATCTGGTTCCTCTGTCGAATGACCTGGTAGGCTGACTGCGACCCTGTCTCCTACTTTGAAGTTTGTCACTCCTGGTCCGATAACACAGACTATCCCTGCCACCTCGTGGCCGAGAGTGATGGGTCGCTTTCTTATCCATTCGTTCACATGACCATTGATGATATGGCAGTCGGTGTGACACAACCCTGCGGCTTGCACCGTTAGGATGACTTCTCCAGCTCGGGGTGTAGGTATTGGGACGTCGTGAAGCTGGAGACCAGCTGCGGAATCTTCGAATTGGTAGGCTTTCATGCTGTATAATCTCTAGGGAGAATGGAGGATATCGTTAACGTTTAACTCGGCGAGGGAGGCGTGCTCCATATATATGCGGTTTCCTGAACTCTAATTCCCGCCGGCAATCCCCCATAAAGCCCTCCTCCCCGCTAGTTCGCGCCATAGCTTGCATCACGTAGTGTCAAGCACACGTATGAGTAGGGCATACTACGGGGTTGTGAAATGGATAAGATATATATTAATCGATGGAGATAGAACCCAAGCTGACCCCGCACTCTCGGTGCCCAACTGAGAGAGCCGTAGTATTGTCACGTGACACCACACCGACAGCTTTTTGTTGGATTTTTAGGTGACTAAGGCCCCCGTAAGCTGAATCATCAGCTGAACAGGAGCTGTAGCCCGGCTGTTCAGCCTGTAGAGCTGGAATTTGCAGGTGGTTTAGCTCTGTAATTCAGCTGTTGGAGACACCGAAGGGGAGCCTAATTCAGGGGTGTGATCAGGCTGTCAGTTTGTAACGGATGACGCAAAGACCTCAGGTGCCGGAAAGTGGAGAGGCCTGTAATCAACCAGTAATCGCGGCTGCCCTGGTTTGCTGCACATCGGATGTGTAACAAAATATTTCATCGATTCTCGGGTTGCACGTGATGAATAATTGCTCTGTGATAATTCAAAAACAAAGAGGCAGAAGTGAGACTTGTACCAGGTAATCGATCAATAAGGTAAAAGCAGACTTCACGCGATACAAGAGTGAGTTCTAGAAATTGAGATATTTTCTAGAAGAGAAGCCTAATGCTCGTAAGCAGTGTGTCAAATGATTTAGCTTGATTTGATTATCGCCTCTGAATCAAATCAAATCAAGTCAAAATCTACTAAATCAAATCATAATTAACTATAATTAACTATAGTTAATTATAATTAACTAGCCTCGATTTTTTTTTGGATACACTGCTTGTAAGAAGCTCGTGGGCCAGACTAAGTGCACCTTAGCGTGAAAGTTAAGCGATGTAAGTGCCTGAGACTTAAGCGAATTTTCCCCCTCACATCTGACATAGCAGGTAGGGGCTGGGTTTATATGCCTAACTATCAGAGATCTATTAAGAGGTTGTGAAATATACTCTTAATAGTTCTATAAAATGCACTTTATTATATATCTCAGGTGAATGCCACTTATGGAGAGGCTGGATGCTATTTCAGGACGAGATTAAATGTAGTTTGGGAGAAGTCAAATACTAGTTCTGGGTAATATTGAAAGGCCGGATTGTGGATTGGGACTGCGTAATAATATAGCCTCTAATAGACTCTAAAGAAGTAGTAGAACCGAGCCAACCAAGTTCAGGCCAAAAGTAGAGGGAACTAGAATGCCTTTATATTTCTTAGCTTATTAAGAAAAGAAGGTTACTAAAAGAAAAATAACCTGAAAACCTTTTTAAGACAAAAAAAAAGAAGCTAATTTGATTTAGGCTAGTCAAAATTTCATATAATATAATTTCTATAATATTTATTTTATTAATTATAATTAATTATATCTAAATATAATTTTATTTATATATAGTTTTTTTGAAGTTTTTTTTTTTTAAAAAAAAACTAGAATTATTTAATTTCTTATTTTAAATATTATTTATATTAGAATTATATAAATTATATCGGGTTATATTTCCTAATTAAATAAATATTAGTTTACTAGTAATATATAATACTATTATATAGTTATAAAATACTATTTATATAAATTAATAAAATAATTAATATTTAGAAATAAAAAATATAATATTAATATATTTTCTTTAAATTTACTAACTTTAATTAAAACTAGTTTACTAATTAAATTATATATATATAATACGAGATTATATAACTAGTTATATAATAAATATTATTTACATTTTATTATTTATAATTTTAATTATATTAATATTAAACTCTTTTTAAAAACTTTAAAAATAATATTTTACTTTAATTATATACTAATTTCTTAATTGGGCCTAGTTTTGAACTTTTTAAATACTTTTTAAATATTCTTTTATTTTCTATTTAATATATTTTTATTTATATTTCTTTATATTATATTTATATTAATTAGATATTAAAGAATATTTAATAGCTTTAACTTTATTATAAAATTAATAAAATTCGATTTTTATTAATTTATTTAACTTTTATAATCTTTTATTATTTATATATTTAACGAATATTATAATTTAGTTTTCGATTTAATTATTTAATATAATTACTTAGCAAATATTACCTATATTTTATTACTTTCTAATTATATAATAATATATATAATATAATTACCTTATTAAAAGAAATATTTAAAAAAGCTAAGTTTCTTATAAGCTAATATATTATAAGATATAAATATTCTTTTTTTAGCTTTAAATTATTATTATAAAAGATCTTTTATTTTGCTTTTTAAGTTCTAAATATTATATTTATAATAATATTTAAAGCTTATTTCTTTTAATTTTATAAAGAATTTTAAATAAACTAATATAGAATTATTAGAAATAAAGGCATTACTAAAATAATAAAACTTTAGAAATACAAGTAATAAGCTTTAAAATAATAAAAGCGAAAAGCTTTAGAACTTTAAAGAAATTAAATATTTATATTTTTATAAATATATATTAGTAATATATTAGAAATTTCTTTAAAAACCTAAAAATTAAAAAATCTTATATAAAAGCTATTTTTTAACTAAGTTCTAAAGTAATAAATATCTATAAGCTAATAATTTAATTATTATTCTTAAGCCTTATTTTATAACTTTATAGGCCTTATATATATATTAATAATAAAATTATTAAAGAAAATATAATAAAAAAAATATAATAAAAAAAATATAATAAATTAATTTCTTAAAAGATTATATAACTCGAAATTATATTAACTTTTATTAAAGCTTTTACTAATTTAGATTATTTAATTAATAATTCTTTTTAAACTAAATGTTTTATTAATATTTCTAGAGAATTTATAAATAAATTTATAAAAATAAAGCTTTTATATATCTAGAAACTTTTTATTCTTAAAGAATTATATAAATAAGCCAGAAAGCCTAATTTCTTATTTAAAGACATTAATATAATTATAACTAGTTATTAGAAAAATATTTAAAAGACTATTATATATAAAAATACCTATAAAAATTCTAAGAGCCTTTTTAATAATATTAAACTTTATAATATTAAACTCGAAAAAAATATTAAGTATTATATAACTATAATAAATTAGTTTATAATAACTTTAGTTATTTTTATTATATTTATTTCTATTATTTTTACTTCTTTAAATCTCTCTTTAAAAATTTTTAAAATATTTTATTTTTATTTTTATTTAGAATTCCTTATATCTTATATTTCTTTTAAAAATACTAGAATTATTAAATTTCTAGATTTAATTTTCTTTATTAAAGATTATATTATTTTTATTAATTAGCTAATCTAAATTAAAAACAAGCTATAAAATAATACTAATTTATATTTTTAATAAACTTATAAATAATACTTTTACTTTAACTAATTCTTATATAAATAAAAATAATTTAACTTAATATTATTAGCTTTTAAAATTATATTTTTATTTAAAAAAGATATATTTTAATTTTAATAAGATATAAAATATTTATTATAACTTTAATAAGCTTTAAATATATTTTAGTTAAATATTTTAGAAGTTTTATAGTTTTTTCTTATAATTAATAATTAATTTATTTTCTTTTATTTATAATTAGAAAAAGCAAATATCTTATAAAATCAAGTATTTTATTAGTATTTATTAAATATATTAATTTAGCCTATAACCCTATTAAAACTCTTATATCTTAGTAATTCAATTTAAATTTTTATTTATTTAATATATTTATTTCTATAACTATTTTAATAATATAAAATCTGTATTTCTCTAAATTAAATTAACTAATTTTATATAGTTCTTTATATTTAATTTATTATATATAAGAAATAAAAGACTTAAATTCCGGTAATCTAATATAATAATCTCTTACTTAATACTATTACTTTATATTAAGATTATAATTTTATTATCTAAAAAAAAATTATTTTTAATATTTTTAATATTAAGAAATACTAATATCTCTAGCTTTTTAATTATTTAAAAAAGCCCCAGATATCTCTTATTTATTAATAATAACTACTCTACTATAATAAGAGCTTTATTAGGCTTATAAATAGAAATAAGATTCTAAATTAGGAAAAGCTTATTTTATTAATTATATTTTTTAAATTAAAGAAATCTTGTTTTATTTTTCTTTTAGGCTTATATATTAAATATAGTTAAGTTTTTTATTACTTTATTCTTTACTTAAATAAGCTTCTTTTTAGCCTTATAAAGTTTCTTAAATACCTTTTTTATATTTCTTGCCTTAATATTAGTTCAAAGCTTATTAATTAATAAAATACTTTCTTTTTTATAAATACTTTTTCTAAAGTTATTATTATAATAAAAATTATTAAATTAGGGCTAGTATAATTACTTTATTTAATTAGAATTTATATATTTATTTCCTGAAACTTTATATTTTATTTAAGCTCTTTTCTAGTTAGTTTAATTAACTTTTTTATTATTTAATATAATTCTCTATTTTATAATCTTTATATATAATAGTTATAAGCCCGGCCTTATACTAATAAGCTTTCTAATTAGTATATTATAAAGAATATTCAAGAGCTTATTTAATTTATTTCTTTGAAAATTATATTTTAGTTTATATTTCCGTTCTTAATTATTTAATTATAAGATATATAATAGTAGGATAATATATAAGTAGTTAAGGTAAGTAAGCTACGAAGTAATACTTATAAGTATAACTAATTCTAAAAGTTAATTCTAATAAAAGACTAATTAATACTCCTTTCTAAAGCTAGGAGTATTTCCCTATATATTCCCTAGTACTTAGCCAAGCCTGCAAAGCACTTTACTTAACTAGGAAATATAATCCTATATAATTCATATAATTCCGATTACCTATATAATTCTAATTATAAGCTTTATCTAAAATAGGAAACTAGATCTATAATATCTAATACCTGTCTATATACTATTATATATACCTATTATATTAATAGAAACTATTTCTATAGTTTCTACTATTTCTATAAGCTTAATTACAATTATATTAGAAGCTATAGTTAAGATTATTATTCTAAAAAACTATA